GAAGAAGAAGAAGAAGAAGAAGAAGAAGAAGAAGAAGAAGAAGAAGAAGAAGAAGAAGAAGAAGAGGAGGAGGAGGAGGAGGATGAGGAGGAGGAGCAAGAACAAAGAGGAGGAGAGGAAAGAAGGAGAGACAAAGGAAGCAGAAGAAAAAGAAGTGCAAGAAGTTGTTATCTGCTAAAGAGGAAACCAAGAAAAGCATGCACTGTGTGTGCTTCAGGGGAAATAGCAAGTGACATTGTCTCTATCCTGTTCAGGATGGAAATGTTACACAAGCCCAACTCTTATGTTGACCCACTCAGTTAAATGATGTCTTGAAATAACCGTTTTATTATTTTTTCTCAAATTGTGTTTGTCCTTTGTGTACCCATTGATTAGTTTCATATGTCATCATACTAATAGGCTTTCTCAGCCTGTGGAAAATCTTGACCTCTTTGGCAGTACAAAATGCATTTTTCTGTAGACAGAAGGAAGGGATGAGAGTCAAAAGTGATAATCAAAACCTCCTCTAGTTTCAAAAAGGAACTCTTTTATGATATCAAGAGGGCTCTATTTAGATCCCCAGGCCTGCCATGCAGGCCCTGCCACCGGGGCCTCTCTTAGGAGGCTGTAAACAGGTGGATCACTGTACGTCTGATCTAGTAGTGAGACCCTGAACACCCCGTACCCCCTTCCCTAAAATACAAAAAAGAGGACTCAAATAGATGACATAAATTAAATACTCATGCCAAATTAATGGAGTTAATATTTACATGCTGTAAATGAAGAAAATTAATTTTTCAGAGTTTTTACCATATCCAAAATGTCAATGATCAATATGAGTGTACCTAAGAAAAGTTTGTCAGATTATTAGGCTCTTTAAAATTAAGAGAACAAATTACTTGAAATAGCATTTCTGAAGCACAAAAATTATTTCACTTTAAACGTGTTATAAATGAAATTGCTTTTACAGTATTTTATAATTTGTCTTCTGCTGGTAGAGTAGGACATTGTTTGCTCCCTGCCACTGCAGAATTACTTGTGTGTCATCAGTCTAGAAATATCTCGGTGAGGGGTCCCATATTCAAAACTCTAGGAGAATTTTGAATCTCAAGACTCAGAATAGAAGAGAGTTTAGATGATAATAGACTACTAATACACTTCACTGAATGATGTTATGGAATGACATATACTTTTCTATTTCTTAAAGAATACAACATAATAATTTAAAAAAGCAGCATTATAATTCAAAATTTCACTAAACAAAGTAATAGATATTCAATAATTGTTGCAGTATTGTATGATATCTTCTATTCAATTATTTAGGTTACCAGATATAAACATAAAAAATTGGTCTAAATAAAACAACAAAAGTTATAATAAATTAAAAAGAAAAAGCAATTTAAGCATTAACTGTCCCTTTCAAAAGACCAGCAAAAATTGGCAGTACCATTATCCAATTTATCATGTATCTATACATAAATATATATTTCCTCTTCTTTCTCTTTTCTTTTTCCTCATCACAGTTTTTCTTCCATTTGAACAAATGATGGCTCTTTCATATAATCTATTGTATGTTTCAGTTTGTATTTATTCTTTTAGGTTCTCATAGTAGGGACACAATATGATGTTTGCACATGTGGGTATGATTATTTCACTTACCAAAATAGTCCCTAGTTTCATCCATTTGTCTACAAAAGCCTCAAATTTATCTTTTTTTAAGTAACTGAATAATACTGAATTGTGTAAAAATACCATATGTTTTCTATTCATTCCTCTATTCATTCAGTTGATGAGCATTTGGTTTGTTTCCAAGATCTAGCTATGACAAATTGCTCTGCTATAAACATGGGTGCACATATATCACTGTAGTGTGATAATTTGGTTCTTTTGGAAAAATATCTAAGAGGGAAATAGCTGGCTTGAATAGGATGTCTAAACCTAGATTTTTAAAGAATCTCCATACCGATTTCTATAATGGGGTAGCCCATTTCACTCCCATCAACAGTGGAGAAGGATTTCTTTGTCCCAACAGTCTCTCTAGCATTTGTTGTTGGTTGACTTCTTGATGATAGGCATAAGATGTATCTCAGTATTTTAATTTGAATCTCTTGAATGAACAATGATGTTGAATATTTTTTATATGTTGTATGTGATCAGTCAGAGCTGAAAGAAACCAAAGGAAGACTGGATTGATATAGCCTCAGGGATTTCACTGAGCCTTATTTCACTCTAAATGAGCCCCGAGCTACCATGGGAGCTTCTTTCATTTGAGGGCTAAAAGCAGGCTAAAAGAATATGCTTAACTAATTTGGTGTGAAGAAGCTGCTATTTACTTCATCTTCTGCATTTTCATATAACTAGTTGGTAACTTCTCCGGTAAAGGAGCAAAGAACAGACAGGGTACCACCTCTAGGAATCTGTTATCTTGTCACCAGCTTGCAGGAGTAACAAGGGACCAGTTTTCTTAGGCTCTGTTCTTTGTTCTTTGCTCCCTCTAGAGCCTCTGACTCTTATCACTGCACTTTCCCATTTTGGTTTTGTGCTGATTTCTTTATGAAACATCAGAGTGAGGACTGTAGATTGTTAATGCATGGCTTGTTGGCAGGCTCATCCTCATTGCCAGGCTACACAAGATATATGAGCCATTCAGAGACAAATAAATGATTACTATACTCCCACTAAAAGAAGGAATAGCATGAAAATAATTAATGTTATCAATGACATTAGAGGTGCCTTGTAACAGATCAGTACCAGACAATTCTGACAATTGTTTTACAAAAGTATTACCAGTATGTCCTGAAGAGACAGGGTATTAAAGATAACATAATCATATACAATAAATGTCCTTTTACATTTTTCCCATGGGAAATGGGTTTGATTCCATGGAATTGGAGTTACACAGAATGCAGAGGTATTCCAATCACATTTTCAATGAAAATGACACTGTAGATTAAAAATTTAATATCCTATCATAACAGTAGCTTGTTCTAAACCATTTATCTAAGTTTTTAGTTCTGAATCTATGTGTCTTTGTGAAGTCCATAACAGTTCTGAGTCCCTGTGCCACTGTTGCAGAAAGTGAACAAAAAGTGTGTGTATCTTGGCTCAGTGTTATTCCAGCTGTAGCAACTGTGGCTGTCACTATTATTTATAAAATCATAGCTATCAAGAGATCATTATTTTTTGTTCTCTTCTTTAGTGTCTCCAGCAAATGTAGAAACAGAGTCATGGAAGGAGAGTCTTGCAAGTCTAGCAAGAGTCTTGTTTGTAACTACAAAATTTATAGAAAACAAAATTCCAGCCCTTGCCTGAAGAATATAAATGTTATCCCTAGAAAATCTAAGGTTAATAGAAGAATTTAGACATGTATACAAAGAAAAATTAAGACATCTAATGGTAGTTAAAAGAGTTCCAGTAACTAAGTCCCATGAGAAACAGATAAGGGGGGTAAACACATGCCTGTGGAAAATGCATCGTGTTCCCTTTAAATTTAAGGTGCAGCTCTTTCTCTTCAACAACTCTGCCAAGGGGCAGACACAGACATGCAGATCTTTGTGAAGACCCTGACGGGCAAGACCATCACCCTCGAGGTTGAGCCCAGTGACACCATCGAGAATCTCAAAGCCAAAATCCAAGACAAGGAGGGCATCCCACCTGACCAGCAGTGTCTGATATTTGCTAGCAAACAACTGGAGGATGGTCAGACCCTCTCCGACTACAACATCCCAAAAGAGTCCACCCTGCACCTGGTGCTTTGCCTGCGAGGTGGGATTATCAAGCCATCCCTGCTCCAGCTTGCCCAGAAGTACAACTGTGGCAAGATGATCTGCCGCAAGTGTTATGCCCTCCTGAACCCCCATGCTGTCAACTGCTGCAAGAGTAAGTGTGGCCACACCAACAACCTGTGCCCCAAGAAGAAGATCAAATAAAGCTCAGCTAGCCCCTCATCCAGAAGGGCACCACCTGCCCAACGCTTGCAGCCTTGGGGCCTGAATAAAGTTTCCCTCCCTTGACTAGA